CCTACATGTATGCATGTGCACCACAGGCATGAGTGGTGCCCTCAGAGATCAGATGGGGGTATGGGATCTCCTGGAACTGGAGTTACAGATGGTCGTGACTCACCTTGTGAGTGCTGGGAATAAAACCTGGGTCCTCTGCAAGAGCAACCAATGCTCTGGACCACTGAGCCATCTCTCCAGCTCCCAGAGGATTCCCTCCTCTAGTTTGGAACTGGACCCAGGATCCCTGCAAACGTTCTGACCCTGGGCTACATCCCCAGCCAGAGTTAGTTTTGGAACAAGGCCTCACTGTGCAGACCAAACCTGCCTCAGACTTGAGCTCCTCCTATCCCTGCTTCAGAAATGCTAGGGTTATAAGTGAATTCTGCCACTTCCTGTGTGAGCTTCATGATTGTTGTTGTTTGGAGGGTTTTTTTTGGGGGGGAGTGGTAAGTAGGAAGCAGAAGAAGGTTGAGGGACAGGGCTTTCTATGTATTTCGGACTGGCCTCAAACTTGAGACCCTTCTGCTTCCAGCTCAGGAATCAGAGCTGTGGGTCCCTTCCCATTTTTCCTATGTGTGAGGGTGCATGTGAACATGTATGCATGTGAGTGGGTACATCTGTGTGGGTACACATGTATTTCTTTTCAAGTTTGTGGGTGAGTGTGCACATGTATACAAGTTTATGTAGAGTACAAAGGTTGATATTGGAAATCATTTTCAATCACTCTCCCACCTGATTTATCCAGTCAGGGTCTCTCAGTCAAACTCAGAGCTTATTGATGTAAATAATCTTGCTAGCCCCAGTTTATTCAGAGATCCCATCTGTGGTGGTTTGAATAAGAATGCTTAGTTACCGGGAAGTGGCACTAATTGAAAGGATTAAAAGGATTAAAAGGCCTTGCTGGAGGAAGTATGTCACTGGGGTGGATTTTGAAGTTTCAAAAGCCCATGCCAAGGCCAGAGTCTCTCTCTTTCTACCTATGGGTCAGGATGTAATTCTCGGCTACTGCTGAATCTGCCTGCATGTAACCATGATAACGGACTAACCTCTGAAACTGTAAGCAAGGCCCCAATGGGAGGCTTTATCTTATAATAGTTGCCTTGGTCATGGTGTCTCTTCACAGTAATAGAACAGTGACTAAGACCCCATCTTTGCCTTCCCAAACTGACTTAAGGCTGGCCTCCATGCTCACTGGCATTTCCAGGGGTTGCTGGAGATCTGAGTTCATCGCCACACAACAAGCACTTGAACCACCAAGCCGTCTCCCGGCCCAGGGCTATGCTCTTTGTTTTTGTTCTGTTTGAAACGTATCTCTCCACACATCCCTGGCTGGCAAAGAACTCACTGTGCAGACCAGGTTAATAGGAGGGTAGCAAGTTCACAGCCGCCGGAGCTATTGTTCCTTTAAAGCCGGTATCGGCAGCTGACACCCTACCTCAAAGTGAAAACGAAAAGAGAGCCGGGTGTAGCTTGCCTCGAATAGCTTGTAGAAGGCCTTGGGTTCAGTTCCCAGTGTGGAAACCAAAAGGCCAAAAATAAAAAGCAAAATTCTCCTTTTTAGCATAGAGGACCCTAACAGCTTGAAGCTTGATTTGTGATTTGCTTGCTACAAACAATTAAAACCACCAACTAGTGGTCCTGGCACCCAGCACAAATGGCCTGTCTTAGGGAAAACAGTGTAAGAGTACTACCTCAGCTGGGTACAGTGGTGCACACACCTCAGGAGACACAGTAGGCAGATCTCTATGTATTCAGGGCCAGCCTGGTCCACACAGCAAGTGAGGAACCTGCCCGACTCCATTTTAAAGGCAGGAGCCATTATGTTGTATTTTTTTCAGAGTTTTTATATTTATTTATTTTTGGTTTTTTGAGACAGGACTTCTTTGTGTATCTTTGGCTGTCGTGGAACTCAGTAGACCAGGCTGGCCCTGAACTCACAGAGATCCTCCTGCCTCTGGAGTGCTGGGACTAAAGGCATGGGCCACCACACCCAGGTAAAAGTTTTTATTTATTGTGAGAGTTGAGTTACTGTTTCCTGGAGCCTGACCTACCTTCCCCAATCCATGACCCTGATTTGTTTTTGAGAATACCCTCACCCTCCCTGGCCCTCTCTCACCCCTCCCTAATCACATGGTGGGTGACCATATGATTTTTTTTTTTTAAGTTTTCTTGTCTTTCCTTATTGCCCCGTTGTCTCCCTTCTGTAAAACTATTGGTGGTTTTACTCCTTAAAAGGGGCCCAAGAGATAGATTTGGGGCTGCTCTCTTTACCCCAGCTTCGGAGGCAGTCGCTGGCCAGCTCTTGGGTGCACCGCAATTAAAATCAAGCTTGCTTCAAATTTGGCTCAAATTGTGGTAGTTGGTCTTACTCTCGATGTTGGGATTAACACAAATCACCCGGAGCTGCAAAGTGAGATCCTGTATCAAAAAGTAAAAAATCTATTACCTCAACATAGTAAGCTGTTTGTATTCAAGTATCATACCGACTAAAGTGGTCCAGAGAGCAAGGCCAGATGTCTTCCAACTGCATAAAAGGACCTCATTCCTTCTGGGGGTGTGTGGCAGAGGGGGGGAATTCTCTTCTTTCTTCTGAGAATTTGCCTGATGTGTTTTTGTCCACAGTGGCTACATTTTTCCCCCCTAATCTTAATGATTGTGTTTTGCAGAAAATGATACAGAAATAGAAGGAAATGGGGGCGGGGGTCACCCAAAGGAAAGGTATATGGAAAGCCTATACTAAAGAAAAAGAAACAAACAAGGAAGACATTACAGTTTTTTCCCAGACTGTGTGTGTGTGTGTGTGTGTGTGTGTGTGTGTGTGTACTAGCCCTGTAGACCAAACTGACCTCAAACTCAGATATCTGCCCGCCTCTGCCTAATGGTGATTAAGTATGCGCCACTAACCAGCGGAAATTACCTTTTGGGTCACCTTAATCACCCAAAGTAAGTTCATATGGATACTAAGGATGCTTCAAAAATCAGGGCAGGTTGTTGTTGTTTTAAATGAGTTGGGGTGTTTTGACTGCGTATGTGTCCCTGGTGCCCCAGAGACCATTAGAGGACACTGTGTCTCTAGAATTGGGGTTACGGGTGGCTGTGAGCTGCCTTACATGCATACTCGATTCCACTAAGTGCTCTGAACCGCTGGGTCGTCTCTCCAGCCCTTTAGACTTGCGCTCAGGGTTGATTCTTTTTCCGCCACGTGGCTTCCAGGTATCAAACTTAAGCGCCTTTGCTGGATGAGTCATCTCTCCGGCCCCCAAATTACACCAGGTTAACAGGGCAGCACCGATTTGTTAGCTAACTCTCTAACAGAACGACTCTGAAGCTTGAGGGTGCGGGTTTTGGTAAAGAGAGGACCACCCACCCCGCCCTAGGCCCTAGGGACGGATTTAGAGACTCCACCATGCACTGCCCACAGTAAGGCTTCAGTACAGGCCCCAGCAGGGACGGCCACGCACGGGGCCTCCTCCAGCAAGCAGAACCTCGGTTCAGGGATGCACCCTCCCATCAGGGGGGAAGCTGGGCCGCCCTTTGCCGCTCCGGCACCTAACCGCAGCCCTCAGCACCCAGTGTGCGCGGCACAGCCCGTGTGCGCCCGGGAGAGCCCGGAGGTTCGCACGGCGCGCGCGTCCACAACAGAACGTCCCCTAGGCGACGAGCCCAGGACCAGAGCGCTCCCCGGGGCGCCGCTCAGGCGCATGCGCCGGGTGGCGCGCCGCCCCCGCGGGGCGCGCGACTCGCCGAGAACGCCGGACCACGCATGTGCAGAGCTCCCCCCTCCCCCGGCTGTAGAGGAGGGGCTTGCGTTCGTCCCGCGCGCTCCCGGTGGGGGTGGGGGAGGCGGGGCGCTGTCAGGGCGCAGGCGCGGGCGCGCGGCCGCGGCGACGGTTGGGGGGGGGTTCTTCCGGAAGGTTCGGGAGGCTTCTGGAAAGAGCTCCGCGCGCTGGGCGGGCCCGCCGCTATATAAGGCAGGCGCGGGGGGCGGCGCGCCAGTTGCTTCAGTGTGGTGGTGCAGCCGGTCACGTCCCGTGCGTGGTCACTCCGCAAAGGTGAGGGCCCGGTCTGCGGGGCCTGGTGGGGGGATGCGGGGTGCGGGGTGCGAGCCTGTGCGGGGCCG